GACAGTGGGGTCAATTCACTGCATCACGCATTTGCGGTGATTACCTGTAGTAAATATCACAGAAAAAAATTATATTGCATTAAAGTCAGCACAGTGGCTAAATGGTTAGCACTTCCATCTGGAAGTACAAGGGTCGCTGGTTCGAATCCCAGCCATGGCACCACCTGCCTGGAGTTTGCATGTTCTCCCTGTGCCTACGTGGGTTTCCTTCTGGTACTCCGGTTTCCTCCCACACTCCAAAGACATGTGTGTAGGTGAATTGGTTCCTGTCTAAATTGGCCCTAGTATCCTAGTATGTGTATGTATGAATGTAAGTTATGGACCTTAGAGAGAGAGAGAGAGAGAGAGAGAGGGTGGGTGGGGTGGTGTGTGTGTGTGTAAAGCACTGCTTGACGGAGCTATGTAAGTACCTGAAATAAATAAGTCAATTCACAAAACTTGCAAAATAAAACTTAAGACATTTAGCAGTGGTATTATTACCATTGCTGAAAATGTGTCATCTCCAGCTCAGATATACTGATTGTCAGGGAGCCAGCACCCACTAACATCCTAACAATCAGTGACTCACCCCTGTTAGTACATTCAGCTGTCAGTGAGCATTCCCGACTGATAGGTGCATGTAAGCAAAGGGGCAGGGACATTTTTTAAAGAAATCCCCTAGAATCAATACCAGGCTCTTCAGGTCCAGCATGAACTTTAAGGGGAACCCAAAACCAAAATAGGGAATTCCCCCGCCCCTCCAAAATCCTGTACCAAAACCTTTTCCAAGCACCATGCATGCATCCTGGCAGGGAAGGTAGAAAAAAAGTGTGTGACCCATTCCTCCCTACCCCACACTCCTAAACCCCATGCTGACCACACTGTTTTTTTTGTTTGTTTTTTTTTTTTTTAACATCGTCCTCGCTCTTTTGTTTGCTATCATCCAGGAATCCCTGGCTGACAACTGAGTTAGCCAGGCAGGGATGAGTCTCTGGTTGTTAGGATGCTGGGAGGTGCTGACTCCCTGACAACCAGTATCTTGAGTTGAAGCTGTCACATTAGCAGCTGTAGTAATGCTTCTGCTAAATGTTTTATTTGCCACTGCATCCACTGTGATGGAGGGAAATGGGGAGGTAGAATTCAGGGAATAGGGGATCCTTTCTGGGTTTGGGTATTAGTACAAACAAGGCCTCCCTCATGGAGGTTGGAAGAGTATTGGAGTAAAAAATATATTTGAATACCCCCCGCAGGTTGGGAACTAGGGCCTCACAAAACTGTATAGAACTCTAATGGGATTCCGTACCATCTAGGAGTTTTGAAGGGTGTAAGGTGTGCCATGAAGAAGTTTTGAAATTCTAAAGCTACAAGATCAGGGTTAGTAAGATGTTGGCCTGATGCATTTTGTAGGGTCACTACCACTGGTGGCATGTGGTCCAGGTGTGCTAGATAGGCAAGCAGTTTGCCAGCTCGTTCCCCGTGCTCAAACACTCTGCAGAAAAAGATCTGTTGTTTTGGCCTTTTCAAAGTGTAGGTTGTTGACTAATCTGGCCTGCATTTTGACCTAGAATGCTTGTTCTAAGGACATTAGATGCTCTTCCACCTGTTAAATTATCAAGTTAGAGGATGCTTTATATCTGGAGATGTGAGTTGAAAAGATTAGTCTGGCATGTAATGTAAATGATTCCCAGACTGCCCCAATGGGGGCCGAACCCCGATTGGATTGGAAATTGGGATTTCTCATTCCTTCTGTAGGGTCTCCATGTCAGGAAGTGTTGATAGCCAAAAGGGGTTCAGTCTCTACATGCAAGCAGATGGGTGGGAGAGAGGGGGGTCTGTAGATGCATGGTTACTAAGTAGTCAGACAATATGTGGGAGGTAAATCCCACCTCTCCCAAATTCGGTAACAAAGATTTGGATACCAGGATATAGCCAATACGTGACTTGAATGAAATGCGGAGAAACATGAATGTGCCCTGGATATAGGGTACCTATGACTCCACGTATCTACTAGGGCAAATTCAGCTAAGAGCTTACTAAATCTAGGAAGGGGAAGCAGGCTTAAAGGAGGGGCATCTGAACCCACTTTGTGAAGGGTGAGATCTATAACCATGTTAAAGTCACCCAGCCATATAGCAGGAATTGTGGGGTATTGGGCTATAAAGGCTAAGCCATCATCAAAACAGAAAATTGAAACGGAGAAGGTGCATAGTAACAACATTTCCACTCCACTTATCAGTGTGTGTAAGAAAATATACCTGCCCTGTGGATCGCTCGCAAAGTCAGAAGCTGGAATTGCATTGTTTTGCAGTAAGGATTGCCATCGCCCGGGAATGTGATGTAAAAGGGGCCTGACACAACCAACCTACCCAGAGTTTAAGAGCAAGCTGCAGTAGGCCAGTAATATGGGTTTCCACCAGAACAGATACATCAGCCTTTTGTGATTTGAGGTGGGTCTAGTCTAGATTGCAGTGCGTTTAGGCTTTGCCCTCAACCCTCTGACATGCCATATTACAAATTTTAGGGGGGGGGGCCATGATAACACTAATAAAAATAGTAGTTGTGATCAGATCAGCAGGGACAAGTGTAACACTGAACACGTATTGTAACAGTTATACAAGCATTGGATACAGGACGTTACTAATCTGAAATCTAACGTTTCACAAGGGTAGTCTGGTTGTAAAATAAGGAATTCAGTAGGTATAGGTAGCCTAAAGAGTGGTGTTCCAGGCATTGACATGTAAGCGTTAATAAGTGACCTCGCTAGGGTGGTCAATCTATATATAGAGCTTAAATCAACAAAAACAGAAAAAGAAAAAAAAACCTGAAAAAGAAATAAACTAAAAAAAACATCCGCAAGTGGAGCATAGGCTGGTCATGGAATCAAAATCCAGAATGAAAATAATCATAACAATAGTACTCCAGTCCATGGTTAGCAAATAATTGCTGAGCAGCTCACAGGGGCGCCAGGTGCTCTAGTTCCAGAATAATGGATGAGAATGGAAGGGGAGAGGGACATGGGGGGGGGGGGGGGGGGGGAATAAAAGGTTCCATTGACATCCAACTGATGAATGCTTGAGCTCTCCATCTAGAAGGTTGGTATTTCAAATGGTATGTAAGGTCAATGCATGGATAGGGATATATACATCATCACCGTGGGTAAGAAGGGGGGGAGAAAATGAAGTAGCACAGAGGAGTCTTGGGGCAAGTATTTCAGGAGGAAAGGGGGAAAGGGGGGGGGGGGGGGAGGAGGAAAACTCTGGGGTCCCAGTGTAGTAGAGTCCTGCTGCGTAGGCTTCCAGATAGGGTGTCAGAATATCCAAAGCCACGGACATGGAGGAGCTCCTAAGAGTGCACGTAACCTAGAAGAGCGTCAAGACGGTGCAGGGCCTGATGTTCCTCGGTTTTCCAGCCACTCGAAGACCGCCTCAGGATCCTCAAAAAAAGGGTACCTTATTTATCTCCCACTACTCATAACCTGGCCGAGTAGAGCATAGCGAATGTTATGTGCTTTATCCACAGTTGTCGTTTGGCTTCTGTGAATTGAGCTCGGCGTCACTGCACCACTGTAGAGAAGTCAGGGAACACTTCCACTTTAACATTTCCGAAGGGAATATTGCCCTTCTCTCGGGCAAGCCAGAGAATGGTGTCTCGATCTCCAAAATTCAGAAATTTGGCAATGAAAGTTCGTGGGGGAGCCCTGTTAGGTGGTGGTCTTGCAGCCAGGTGATGGGCTTGTTCCACCATGAAGGTGGCAGAGAAAGACCTCTCTGCTATAGGTGTTAGTGAGTACATTCTGTAGAAAGGATGGAGGTGTGCGCTTTCCGCACCCTCTGGGATTCCCACCAACTGGAGGTTACATTGCCAAAGTCGCAATCCAGCATACGGTCTTTGTGACCCTCTCTCTCAGCTTTTTGGAAGTCCTGGCGTATGAGCAAAATATCTACCTTCACCTCCTCAACCTTGGAAGTCGAGTCTGCTTCCAGGATCTTGTGCCTCTGCCGGCCTGGTCTGGTTCAGCAGGTGGGACAGTGCCATCTTCCCCCACATGTCTCTCTCTTCATGCTGGAACCTGTCCAGCTTTCCACTGGCGATTTCTTGGAAGGTGACATTGTGAGGTGGTGGGGAGAAGGTGTACAGCTGAGGCAAAATACGGGCAGATAGTCCCCAGGATCAGTGAAATAGGATAAATTTTGAGCGGAGCTCCTGGTTAGTGCACCCTACACCATGCTGCTGGTAGCTGAAAATACACATAGGGTACTATTAGCTAAATCTAATCATGGCCACATTTAGTCAACAAAGTAAGCCAGGTTATTTGGGGACCCTCTTATTTTAAAGGGGTCTTCCAGATGGCCCCTGTCGCCTGCATGGATTAGGATCTGGCATGGATTTTGGGGAGGACCCCACAATGTCTCCTTTTTTTTTTCTTCCCTTTTTTTTAGGAAGCATCAACTTAAACATGAGTAGCTGCAGCCACTGTTTTAATGCAGAATGAGTACTGGCTGTCAATGGCAGCCAGGGAGCACCAATGGGGAGATATATACAGGTCATAGGAAGTAGGCCCAAGGTGCTTCATTTTAGTGTAAGCCTATATGGCAGGGGTGGCCAACCTGCGGCTCTCCAGCTGCTGCAGGACTACAAGTTCCATCATGCCTCTGCAAGTCAGTAACTTCCCATCTTTGCAATGCCTCATGGGAAATGTAGTTCCACAACAGCTGGAGAGCCACAGGTTAGCCACCCCTGCATGGTATACCTAAAGTCTGGAACTGGTTAAACATATTATACATTTGTACAGCGAGCAGTTGACATACTCTTCAATGGTGTGCTCACTGCCTACTAACACAGTCCATGAATACCCAGCCTTAATTTGTTTTTACTTTGAATTTTTTGTATGTTGGATTTATGGCAATGTACATAATCACTCGTACATTAGATTAGTATTACAATTAATTGGTGTATATCAATTTGTATTTTCAGAGCTTAAACTTTCTATTTAAAGTGATATTCTGTGTTTTTCTTCACAGTTACCTGAAAAACTTAATAAAACATATGATTGGATTAAACTGTGGAGGTTTTGGAGTCCTGGAAGCAAAACACCTGGGTTACGGATAAAGGAATGCTTGGAACTGCTTAAGAAAAAGGTACACATAGAGTAAACTTTTGTTTAAAAAAAATAATTAGCATAAATGAAATGAAATGTGCGTCGTTCAAATAGGCAAGCTTTTGTTTATAACCTGTCATAATGCTCATGCTGTTTTTATTTGACAGCCAAAATTTGTCTGTACTTGCACAATACACCTTTTATAAAGCTCTAGAATCATTCTAAACAGATGCCATCAGTTATCTTTATTTAGTTGCCTTTAACCAGCAAGGTCTATTTTAAAAGAAAAAAATGCCTGTGTTGTGAAATTTGAGAGTTGACTTCTTCACAGTGCTTTTAGATACAGATATGAGTTGGGGGTCATTTTAAGGGCTTTTACTTGCTTGTTCAGAATATTTAAATACTTGATTCTGGCTAATTGTAAAATGAAAGAACATATGCCATTTAGGAAAAAAAAAAAGTTCTGTTATGCATTTCTTTGGGTTTTTAGTCACATATAGTTTAATTTTTGGCATTTGCAAAAGCATTATTAAAACTGTAAATTCCTCACACTGTGCACATGATCAAAAACACTGATCAACAGAAGCAGCACAGTGCTAATGAGGTCCCATCTTCTGTCAGTACATACAGTTAGGTCCATATATATTTGGACACAGGCATCATTTTCATACTTTTGGATCTCTATGCCACCAGAATAAATTAAAAAGACACAATCCAATTTAATTTGAAGTGCAGACTTTCAGCTTTAATACAAGGGGTTGAATATAATAAATTATAATAAATATGAAGTACAAATTTTAGGAACTTCAACCATGTTTATACACAGTCCCTCCATTTTCAGGGGCTCAAATGTAATTGGACAAATAAATAAAATGTTCATTTTTAATATTTTGTTGCGAATCCTTTACTGGCAATGACTGCCTGAAGTCTGGAACCCATGGACATTTCCTCCTTTCTGATGCTTTTGCCAGGCTCTTACTGCAGCTGTCTTTAGTTGTTTTTTGTTTGTGGGTCTTTCTGCCTTTAATTTTGCCTTCAGCAAGTGAAATGCATGCTCAATTGGGTTGAGATCAGGTGATTCTCTGTTAATGCAGAATATTCCACTTCTTTTCCTTCAAAAGCTCCAGGGTTGCTTTTTCAGTGTATTTTGGATCATTGTCCATCTGTACTGTGAAGTGCCGTCCAATCAACTTTGCTGCATTTGGCTGAATCTGGGCTGACAGTATCTCTCTAAGCACTTCAGAATTCATCCAGCTTCTTCTGTCACATCATCAATAAACACCAATGACCCAGTGCCACTGGAAGCCACGCATGCCCATGCCATCACACTGCCTCCATCATGTTTTACAGATGACGTTGTGTGCTTTGGATCATGAGCTGTTCCAAGCCTTCGCCACACTTTTTTCTTCTTTTCATTCTGGTGCAGATTAATCTTAGTTTCATCCGTCCAAAGAATGCTTTTCCAGAACAGGTTTGGCTTTTTTAGATGTTTTTTGGCATCTAATCTGGCTTTTCTATTCTTCAGGCTTATGAATGGTTTCCACCTTGTGGTGAACCCTCTGTATTTGCTCTTGTGAAGTCTTCTCTTGATTGTAGACTTTGACAATGATACCCCCACCTCCTGTCTTTCACTTGTCTGAATGTTGTGAATGGGTTTTCCTTAACCATAGAGAGGATCCTGCAGTCATCTACTACTGGACGTCCATGCCTTTTTATGTTCCTTATCTCACCAGTGCGTTCTTCTTTCCACAGAATGTACCAAACTGTTGATCTGGCCACTCCTAAAGTTGCTGCTATCTCTCTGATGGATTTGTTTCATTTTTGAATCCTTACAATGGCCTGTTTCCCTTGAATGTAGATTCACAGCAATAGATTCCGAATGCAAATACCACACTTAGAATAAGCTCCAGACCTTTTACCTGCTTAATTGATGAAGAAATAATGGAGTAGCCCCACACCTGGCCATGAAACAGCTTTTGATTCAATTGTAATTACTTTTGGTTCCTTGAAAAAGAAGGGATGGCTACTCTTAAGAGCTGTAATTCCTAAACCCTTCCTCCAATTTGGATATACATACTCTCAAATTAGACCTGAGAGTGTGCACTTTCAGCCCATATCCATTATATAACTATAGCTTGAATATGTTTTGGCAAATACCTGAAAAAAAAATAAAATGTTGCCTGTGTTCAAATATATATGGACCTAACTGAATGCATGCAACAGAGCCTAGTTGGCTGCTGATGCTTGCCCTTTTTCTTCCAGTGTGATTGCAGGAATAACAGAAGATTAATGTCAGAACAAATTCCAGTGCTTACACTAGTTAAATTTAAAAATATTTTTAAAGCTGAAGTTTAGTAAAAAACAAAAAAGTGTTTTTTACTACAGCTTCAGGCCCGTAAGTTACCTGTAATAAAATGCATTACACATCTTGCTGACTGTAACTTACAGTAGAAATTGTCTCTCCAGTAAAGCGGAGTCATCTTCACAGCACTGAATTTCTGGCACTGCATGAGTTTATTGCCTTGATTCTAACACTGCAGTATGTTAGAGAGCTTCCCACCCATTTCTGTCCTCTCCTCCATTCATAACTCTTCTTGCATTGGGGCAGGGCTTTTTTTTATCAAACAGTAGGTGCAGGAACTCCCCCCTTCCAAGTTACCCCTTGTCTCCGCCCCCTACCCACCTGTGAGCAGCATTTTTTGGTTCCACCGCCTACCCACCTACCAGTACCCCCCTTCAAGTGAATAAAGGGCCGAGTATCCTTTTGTGGTGTTAAGTAATTTGTATGGAGATTTGCTAATGGTAGCATAAAAAGCAGTAAAATAAATCCCCTACTGCCAGCAACAAATGCACATCAAGCAGCAAAATATACCCCAAAAACAATAGACCCACTACAGCAACAATAGATCTTCCAGCAGCCCGCAGCAACAGACACCTCCCTCAACAGTAGATCCCTCACAGCAACAATTAACTCTTCAGCAGCAGTAGACCCCTCCCTCATCAAGAGAAACTCCCCCAGTAGCGAGTATCAAATCCCTAGCAGAGAGCATCAATAGACCCTCCAGCACACCCCATCACCCCTTGTCAGTACTTAGATTCAGTGCTGGAGGTGCCGGAACTGTGTTTCCCCGCGTTCCCGCTGAAAAAAAGCCATGTGGTTACCAGAAAGCTCAGCATTGCAAAAGAGACAGCAGCATCACTGGAGAGATTATTTCTACAGCAAGCTGCAATCAGGATGCTGGATACAATGTATTTAAAGAGGTTGTAAAGCTTTACATATACTTAGTGAAGTAATTGACCTCAGGTGATACACAGAGATGAAGCAATTCCTCCTACATAAGTTGTACCTGTCTATCTGCAGTCTTCTCTTCTCTACTGCCGTTCAAAGTGCAGAATTTATACAGCTTGTCTGGGCTTTCAAAAAGCAGGGAGCTGAAGTAACACGCTGCAGAGCTGATTGGAGGGACGAGACACACACCTCTACACAGCACACATTAACAGAGCTGAGGCTGTCAATCACAGGCCTGGAGGTCCCTCCCTGTCACCTTTTTCTCTTGGTGTCAGGAAAACTTGTCAGCAGTGACTCAGGCTGACAGCAAAGGAACAGAACAGCAGACAAAAATTATACTTGTTGCATTTAATTGAGATAAGTAAACATTATAGAGGGATATGCTTTGTTCATTTATCACGTCTGAGGTTTATAACCACTTTAAATCATACCTAATTAATTAATTGTTATCTGTATGTCTGTCTAAAGTACAGAAGCAAGGAGTGTGGAACAATGCATCTCTAAAGGTAAAATGAAAGGGTTCTGTAGCACAAGGCCATATGCCTTCGAACTGCAAGCTGACTTTATATATCACTGTCACAGTCTGTAAAAATGTGTGTTTTTTTTTATATATATATATATATATATATATATTACACACTGACGTTTTCTATATACATCAAGGACTGATTGAATTGAGTATCTTGTATGTCATTTTTGCATAATCCTGTATTATAGTGAAGAGAACAGCAAGGCTTATATTGCCACAAAAATGCATTCCTCTGCTAATCTGCTTAGCAACTTCATCAGAAATGGATTTGTGAATATGAAGCCACAAAGTGTTGAAGGTAGAATTTCACAAATGTTGGAGTGTAGCTGTACAGTTAGCCAATATGTTTGATGAGGTTTTTTTTCTATTAATTCCATCAGTCGGTTATTGTTCTTTTTTGTTCTACATACAAAAAATACTTCTATACACACAGTCCATGTGAGTGTATGTAACCAGTAACCACTTGCATTGGGGGAGCACTGGATAACATGTGTACATGTGCGGGATCACTAGGAGGAAAACCCACACAACACAAGGAGATGTTCTTCATTTCCCACAGATGCAGATGGGGTTTCAGATTGGAATTGCGCCCAAAACACCGCACTGTAGTGCAAGAGTGATAAGCCAGTGTACTTATGTTTTGTTTCTGTGTGTGTGTTTATACAGTGAGGTCCATAAATATTGGGACATCGACACAATTTTAACATTTTTGGCTCTATACACCACCACAATGGATTTGAAATGTTGTTTCAGAACTGTGAAGGCTTTTTAGATGTCGTTTGGCAAACTCTAATCTGGCCTTCCTGTTTTTGAGGCTCACCAATGGTTTCCATCTTGTGGTGAACCCTCTGTATTCACTCTGGTGAAGTCTTCTCTTGATTGTTGACTTTGACACACATACACCTACCTCCTGGAGAGTGTTCTTGATCTGGCCAACTGTTGTGAAGGGTGTTTTCTTCACCAGGGAAAGAATTTTTCGGTCATCCACCACAGTTGTTTTCTGTGGTCTTCCGGGTCTTTTGGTGTTGCTGAGCTCATCGGTGCGTTCCTTCTTTTTAAGAATGTTCCAAGCAGTTGTTTTGGCCACGCCTAATGTTTTTGCTATCTCTCTGATGGGTTTGTTTTGTTTTTTCAGCCTAATGATGGCTTGCTTCACTGATAGTAACAGCTCTTTGGATCTCATCTTGAGAGTTGACAGCAACAGATTCCAAATGCAAATAGCACACTTAAAAATGAACTCTGGACCTTTTATCTGCTCATTGTAATTGGGATAATGAGGGAATAACACACACCTGGCCATGGAACAGCTGAGAAAGCCAATTGTCCCATTACTTTTGGTCCCTTAACAAGTGGGAGGCACATATGCAAACTGTTGTAATTCCTACACCGTTCACCTGATTTAGATGTAAATACCCTCAAATTAAAGCTGACAGTCTGCAGTTAAAGCACATCTTGTTCGTTTCATTTCAAATCCATTGTGGTGGTGTATAGAGCCAAAAATGTTAGAATTGTGTCGATGTCCCAATATTTATGGACCTGACTGTATATGTGAATGTTTTTATATTCAGTTTTGCAACCTTATTTGCTAATGATGATTTGTGATGGTTTTGTATTAAATGTTTACAAATGTGCTGTTTGAGAGTGTACTTGAGCATTCTTGTCCCTTAGAAGAGTAATAGCATTGAGTGGTGTTTTGTTCTAATCTTGTCTCCTTATCTGCAGTGGGCTGAAATTAGCAAAATGAAGATTTTCGATAAAAAACAAGAGGCTTGTGATGAGATATTTCAAACAGAAGAAGAGTACAGTTTGTATGAGGCTGTGAAGTTTTTGATGCTGAGAACTGCTATTGACTTATACAACGCCAATGAGAATGGCATGGAAGTGCCTGTGTTCTCTTGGCTGCTATTTGCTAGGAACACATCTAATAATCCTTGTGAATTTATGAAGAATCACTTGAATCAAGTGGGACACTCGGGAGGACTTGAACAGGTATGTGCCATCAAGATGTTTGAATAGATGACATCTACTGTTCTTAGTTGTAATTTAGATATTTCAAGATTTATTTTGTGGATTAGGACTAAAGGAACATTCACTGCAGCTTTTGGCATACTTTGAAAATTGTTTTTAAGTTTTTTATCATTTTTCCTGACTGCCTAGTGTGTCATTGAACTAAATAATGTATGCAAGCAGTGAAGTCACGGTGACTGACCTTTATATCAATTCACAATCAAATAAATCAATCAGTGCAGATAATAAATTCAATACGAGAGACTGAGCACACTGACACTACATGTAGCTGCCTGTTCGGCAGCAGCCGCTTTGTAAGTGTTCTTGTGGGCTGTTACTATTTTATATTTATTTTTTAATATTGCGATTTACATTCCATATTTGGGTAATATCTACTGGTCAAATAAATGTGTATATATATGTCACTATGAGAGTTTCCTTCCCATGTGCTTTATGATCCAACTGAGGAGTGGAATCCGAATTGGATGGCTGGGCTGAGCAGCAAAGAAATGCTGGGACTCTGATATAGAGTGATTGATGTGCTGAGAGGATCCATCCACCTCGGGATCAGTTATACACATGTAATCAACCTCTGTAAAGGAGTATGTGGGTCTGGTAAGCACATTACCTCTCTTTGGAGCTGGGATCACTGGATTTGAGGATTCACTTCATGGCTGAAATTTATTTCTTCAGCTTTTAAAAGTCACAGATGCATTTTAATGATTGTGGACACTATGTTTATTAACGTTTAATGTTCTCACTTGATTTGTGAATTTTTCTTGATTAATAACACACAGGACTTTTTATGTAGTAGCTTATACATACATGAAATTCATTATTGATTTATGTGCACTGAAGGATTTCTCATAGTGAATTTATTATCAGTACTTATGGATTTATTTAATTATGTATTGTTATAAGGGTTAGTTTTATTATTTTTGGTGCTGCAATTTATTCACATACATTTTGAGTTTGGCATATATTGATTCCTTTGCTAGCTGCCTTACCGTTCCACTGAGAGCAGATATTTTGTGTTTTGAGACATTTAAATTGTCACTGACCTGCCTCGATTTTTTTTTTTTTTTTTTTTTGGTCAGTGGCTCAAAAAAAAAAAAAAAGAAAGAAAAAGTAAATCAATGCCAAGTGACACACAAGTTATTTTCATGAATCACTAAAATATAACGTGATTGATTTATTGAAAAAATGGTCAGACACTCAAACTGCATATTGCACTAATATTCATGTCATCCTATATACAGTACATCTGTTATGATTTTGGTTTGGGAAAGGGGAGTATTTAGGGTGTAACAAGGTGCAAATGCCTCCCCTCCTACCTTCTAAACCATGTTCTTTTCCCACGTAGCAACTGGAACATCTAAAAATGGCACAGCTATATCATTGATTCACAGAGATCTGTAAACAAACTATGAGTCTCATCTGCCACGGTGTTCGTTCTATAACTGACAGCTGTAGTTTTAGGACCCAGTAATTGTACCCACAATCAACAGAAATCGTCGATGTAATGGTTTTCAAGTTCCTGCAAAAAAAAAAAATATATATATAATACAATAAATAAATGCACATTTGTTTTTCTGCCAAAAACAAGTGCATTTATTATTTTTTAATTTAAAGCTTAACCTAGCCTTTAACCCATTCCTGCCAGCCATATGCGTGTATGCTACTTCCAGGCGGGCTTTAATGCTGAGTGGCCACATATATGCGTCTTGATGTCAATTTTTTTTTCTGTGCTGAGAGCATGCGCCCTGTGCACTTCCAACACAGTTACCAGCAACTGCTGGGAAACGTTCCGATGCATAATTACGATCAGGACCTTTTTGAACATGTGACAGCGAATCACAGTGTCCACATGATCGGAATGCCCGCCTCCCGGTATTTAAGGGCTGGAAGGCGGTGGCAGGAAGGGGTTAAGCATGTACACGCCTTTTGATAAAAGGGAAAATTCTATTCTGCCTTTAGAAAGTACATAAAGAGGTAGCCGTGAAAAAAAATTGAAAAGATCTAGTGTGACCCTATACTTGTGCCCTGCGCTAGTCATAAATAGACTTTTCAGCAGTGCTCAATAGATAACTGCAATACATCCCCGTCACATATTAATATCCTAGTTGTATTGAATGTTCAACCCTAAAAAAGCAAAAGGAAAAAAAAGACATTTCACTTTTCATTATAACTTTTTTTTTATTGCTTTTGTATTTTACTTATAACCTCTTGCCGTCCGCCGGCTGTTTAAAAACGGCGGGGCGGTGGCAGTCCAGGGGCGGGTTGCCGTTCATAAACGGCACCCGCCTTTTCTAGCTGGGCGCGCTCCCTAGGAGCGCGCAGCACCACGATCCGGTGCCTGCTGTGTCCTCTGGACACAGTGAAACACCGATCGTCGGACGGGACCTCTATACGAGGTCCCAATCAGTGATCACATGCAAAGTAGTAAGCAAGATGTCACTTGTGACATCATTGCTTACTATGTGTGAAATCTGTGAATGATCACAGAGGTCACATGGTACAAGGCTATTCACAACAGCCTTGAACCATGTGACAAGCTGTGACCAATCACAGCTCACTCAGTACTTCTCAATGACTGCAAGAATGCAGACAGAGAGAAAGAGAAATGATTGCATTTACATCCTATATGGGTGTAAAAGCAATCCGTGTAAAAAAAAAAAAAAAAAATCTTCATCAGCCCTCACAAGTAGTACAGTGTCACCATGGTGACACTGTACTGCTAGGGTGACATTATGTAAAAAAAAAAAAAAATAATATAAAAATGTAAAAAAAAATGTTTAAAAATTATAATTTTGGTTATAAACTCATTTGGATTTTTTTTTTTTTTACTAAAAAGTGTGATAGCGCTGAAAGCTGAAAATTGCCCTGGACTGGAAAGGGGTAAAAGTGTCTGGACAGGAAGTGGTTAACTGCATCGCCATTGCATTGGTAGTCATGTAACAATACTGTTCAATGTTCTCTAGCACTGTTGGAGATCTTTCTCCATTTCATTTAACCAATGGATCGAAGAGTACTCTTTATTTTGTTGTGCTCTAAGCCACACCTATTTTGTAATACCTGTTGTTGTTTTCTATGTTTTATTTTGCTTGTTGTGTAAAACTTCAAAAACTAGAACTTCTTTTTCTCTTTTATTTTTTTACCATTCTGAGGATCTAGTGGTGTTTTTATGAACCTGAAACTGGGGGGAGAGGCACAGGTATGCTTGGCACTAGTGGGGTTCTTTCATTCTTCGCGGAGGCATTCTCCCCTAGATTTCCTCTTCCATGTGCACTACTATGTACCTGTGTTGGGCTTTCATCTTGACCTAGAGCTGGAAGAGCAATGCCCTAGAACTGAGGGCTGTTTCCTTCTGCAGGCAGATAACTGATACCTGACAATGTGTTTTATGTGTTCTTGCATCTTTCTATTGTAAGCATTTTGAACTTCATATAGAAAATTGCTCTAACTAATTTGGAAATATTTTTCCACTCACAGGTCATGTGGTTTTTTTTCTGTATTTGATTTTCCATTAATGCTGTGGAATGCAATATATTTCAAAGTTTGAATACAAATGAAAAAGATAAATGCATCATTTTGTGTTATATATGCTCCACTAATGAGACTTTCTAGTCACATTTTTTTTTCATTATACATTAAGTACATCCAATCTCCAGCAGTCTGTGTTTACAGTATTTGACTATACGGCTGTCTTGGATATTATAAATACATTACTGCAGCTTAGCAGTTGTTTGGTGGTAAAAATGTGTCTCTTACCAAAGTGTATATTAAATAAATGTGTAGTTTTAGAAATTAGAATGTAAGCTCTGACTCCTGCAGGAACTGCTAGCTTTTATTTTTTCCTTATGTTGTCAATTCATCCATCTTCATAGGTTGCTTTTTGTGCCACTCACATTAAACAGCCTTTTTTACTGAAAATGTGTTTATTTAATAACATAATTTATCAGCAGAAAATATCACAATAACCTATATAGAGAGGTTAAACCAGTATATCAACCCATGACCAGAAAAGGTGGTTGGTTAAAGGGTATATGAAACCCTAAAGAGCCTGTCTAGACACCTAACTATCTAAAATATTTAGTTCAGTTACAAAAAAACAAGAAGTTGCTAGATAGTTAACCTTGTGCTTGCACCTAGATCCTGTTTAGATGTTTTTAACATTGGAGGAGTGCAGACTGAGTTCCCAGTACAGCTAGAGAACTGACCACGCTGTGCTTTTATGCCTGGTGTGGTCATTTTTTGAAAGCAGAGGGACTGCCATGAACACCAGAAATTTCACACAAAAGAAGCAATACAAAGCAAACAGGATACTTTTTATTTTATGTGCATAGTACAGCAAGCATATATCAGGAATATGAAATATTGGGTTTACATATTCTAAAAGGTAGGCCTTGTGATTGTTTAGCCCAAAAAATTACCAAATTTAAGGTGCAAGTTATTTCAAAGTCTCTCTGACAAATATTCTTAGAGTTACTATAGTATAGGTTGTCTAGGGGGAGGGATGTGTTCAATATACAGTGGGGCAAAAAAGTATTTAGCCAGCCACCAATTGTGCAAGTTCTCCCACTTAAAACGATGAGAGAGGCCTGTAATTGGCATCATAGGTAGACCTCAACTATGAGAGACAAAATGAGAAAACAAATCCAGACAATCACATTGGCTGATTTGGAAATAATTTATTTGCAAATTATGGTGGAAAATAAGTATTTGGTCACCTACAAACAAGCAAGATTTTTGGCTCTCACAGACCTGTACCTTCTTCTTTAAGAGGCTCCTCTGTCCTGCACTCATTACCTGTATCAATGGCACATGTTTGAACTTGTTATCAGTATAAAAGACACCTGTCCACAACCTCAAACAGTCACACTCCAAACTCCACTATGGTGAAGACCGAAGAGCTGTCGAAGGACACCAGAAACAAAATTGTAGACCTGCACCAGGCTGGGAAGACTGAATCTGCAATAGGCAAGCAGCTTGGTGTGAACAAATCAACTGTGGGAGCAATAATTAGAAAATAGAAGACATACAAGACCACTGATAATCTCTCTCGATCTGGGGCTCCACGCAAGATCTCACCCCATGGGGTCAAAATGATCACAAGAACAGTCTCAGAAAAAGAAAAAAATCTCAGGACCACACGGGGGGACCTAGAGAATGACCTGAAGAGAGCTGGGACCAATGTAGCAAAGGCTACCATCAGTTACACACTACGCCGCCAGGGACTCAGATCCTGCAGTGCCAGACGTGTCCCCCTGCTTAAGCCAGTACATGTCCGGGCCTGTCTGAAGTTTGCTAGAGAGCATTTGGATGATCCAGAAGAGGATTGGGAAAATGTCATATGGTCAGATAAAACCAAAATAGAACTGTTTGGTAGAAACACAACTCGTCGTGTTTGGAGGAGAGAGAATGCTGAGTTGCATCCAAAGAACACCATACCTACTGTGAAGCATGGGGGTGGCAACATCATGCTTTGGGGCTGTTTCTTCGCAAAGGTACCAAGACGACTGATCAATATACAGGACAGAATGAATGGGGCCATGTATCGTGAGATTTTGAGTGCAAACCTCTTTCCATCAGCAAGGGCATTGAAGATGAAACGTGTCTGGGTCTTCCAACATGACAATGATCCCAAACATACCGCCCAGGAATTGAAGTAGTAGCTTCATAAGAAGCATTTCAAGGTTCTGGAGTGGCCTAGCCAGTCTCCAGATCTCAACCCCATAGAAAACCTTTGGAGGGAGTTGAAAGTCCGTGTTGCCCAGCGACAGCCCCAAAACATCACTGCTCTATAGGAGATCTGCATGGAGGAATGGGCCAACATACCAGCAACAGTGTGTGCCAACCTTGTGAAGACTTACAGGAAACGTTTGACCTCTCATTGCCAACAAAGGATATATAACAAAGTATTGAGATGAACTTTTGATATTGACCAAATACTTATTTTCCACCATAATTTCCAAATAAATTATTTCCAAATCAGCCAATATGATTGTCTGGATTTTTTTTTCTCATTTTGTCTCTCATAGTTGAGGTCTACCTATGATGCCAACTCCAGGCCTCTCTCATCTTTTTAAGTGGGAGAACTTGCACAATTGGTGGCTGACTAAATACTTTTTTGCCCCACTGTATATACAAGAATAGTCAAAAGTAGGCTCTAAATGTGTAAGAGATATGGCAGTTGTGGTTTGTACTAAGCTTTGTTCAACTTTCAGGAAGCCTAACTTGTGCCTGTAGCACCCCAGTTAAGTAACATACCTATAGGAGTCTGGTCAGGCCAAGTAATAGCCTCCTATACTCTTCCACGTAATTAGAGGAAGGAAGGGGAGATTTGGAAACCTAGAAAACTGAAAAAGTAGCTTGATTTTAAAAAGGTTTAGTAGAGTTATACAAGATATGATCAAGATTCATATGATAATGAATTTCTCAATGAACCTACAAAGTTTTAGTATTTTGTGTAAGTTCCTGAAATCTCTTGGCTGATATATCTATCGTAGAAAGCAATGATGGTTTTCTGTCTCTAAATGGAAGAAAAAAGTTGTCTTTAAATATCTTGGAGCTAGTATATTTTTTTTTCTTCCATAAATGAATGGTTGGGACAGTAACACATACAGGCAGTCATTAAGTATTTAATATAAAGAAGGTCTTTCGGAATATTTTGTAAGAGGGTGTGCACACTTATGCAACCACATTATTTTCCTTTTTTTTTTTTATGTTTATTCACCCCTCTAAAAGATTTCATGTTTTTTTTTTTTTCAATTGAGTTGTACAGTTTATAGGTCACATTAAAGGTGGAAAAAGTTCTGAAATTATTTATTTGTCTCATTTTTGTACATCACAGAAACCTGATATTTTAACAGGAGTGTGTAGACTTTTTATATCCACTGTACATAGGTTGTAGCTTTCTTTCCTCTGTCAACCACAGGCTGTGCCCTCCCCTGTCACCATTTTTCTCTTGGTGTAAGGAAAACCTGTCAGCAGAGGAAGGAAGTCGCAGACAGAAATGTTCAAGTAAAGTACACACTATAGAGGGTTGTGCTTTGTTCCTATTTTTGTCTGAGGTTTACAGCCACTTTAAATTCCTTTATAATTGAGAGATATTTGACTGTTCTAAACACTTTACATTGCAGGGAAAAAAAAACTGTTCCCCACTTCTGCTCATGACCTGTGTAATTGGTTTTAAAGTTATTTCACAGAAAATGCATGATTGCTGTACTACTTCCTATATTGTATTTGAAATGTTATTGTGCAGCAGCTGGAAAATACATGATGCAAATAATTAAATTGGTCTTGTGACATAAAATGAGTCTAGCAAATTGTGAAACAACCTCTACATGAAAAGCTTCCCTCTTGCTACATTTGTAATGTTTTACATTTGTGTGCCTGTGTTTATATTTTAGCTTCTTTATATCTTGTTTTTTTTTTAGGTTGAAATGTTTCTTCTTGGATATGCATTACAGCAAACAATAAAAGTGTATAGACTATATAAATATGGAACAGACGAATTTGTTACACAGTATCCGGATGACCAGGCAGATTGGCCTGTGGTAACTCTCATAACGGAAGACGACAGACATTATAACGTTCCAGTTAGAGTATGTGAAGAAACAAGTTTATAGATATTGTATCATATTATATAAATGACTGATAACTGCTACTGTTTTAAGATTGTGCTGTTACATGAACTTGTCCTCTCTTTTATCTGGGAACCTTCGGAGGTCCTCCTTGGAAGAACTTCAGTGCTAGTTTGGAATAGTAAAGACTGTACAATGGGTTTATGGGTGGAGGGAGTTATCATTAATTACTTCTAATTGCTTTGTACTGGGTATTTTGTTATTTTGGGAAATTTACGGGCAACTAAGAACCTTGTGGATCCTGTATACATATTTGATGGCAATTTTGGGTTTATTACCCAGATTTCTGACATGATTTCCACAGATGCCTTTGCAAAGTAAAACATTTCTGATTTTTGAAACCGTTCTCTTCTTTTCATTTGCCTTGTGTATATATGTAATTCTTCATACTTCAGTTGTAATTCATTATCTAGTTCAAATTCCTGGACTTGGCCTTATTTGACGATTTGTGAAGAAGCACATTTAATGGTCTGATTCAATACATAAATCCTTTATTATTATCATCATCCTCATTTTATAGTATTATAAGCTCCTTTGATATAGTTTTTCACACCTCCTGTCACTTGTCACATCTTCTGGTCAGGTCTGCATGTCATTAACCCTTTCATGCATGAATTCTGAAAGCCACAGTCAGGATTTTTTTCCTAAGTGTTTTTATTACTCTTTAGGCATGAAAAAAAAATTGAACTTCATTATTTGAACATTCATTTTCCAAGGAGTTCTATGCATGCATTTGAGTCTTTAACTGAAGACTTGACTCAGCTGGTATTTGCGCCACTATCCTATAGCCCTTTCTATCATGCATTTGAGTTCTACAAAATGTAAAGACATTAAAGCAGTAGTGAAGTGTCCTGGAAAAACATTTAAAAAATGGTCCCCTCTGCAGGTTTAACCACTTGCCTACCGCAATTCTGGAATTTCTGTCACATATGTTAAACGCAATCTGCATTTTTTTTGCCAGAAAATTACTTAGAACCCCAAACATTATATCTTTTTAAGCAGAGATTGAAGAGAATAAATTGTTGGGTGTTTCAATTTTTTAATGTCACATCAGGCTTCTTCTGATTGGCTAAAGTAGAAAGGCGGGTGGATGAAGTCATGATCTCCACCTCAGGCAATCAGAGGAAGCCTTGTATTCATTCAAAAATACAAAGCCTCCTGTGAATGATTGAGCAGCACTCAGCCTGACTCAATTTTGTTTTGGGGCACGACAGGAAGTTCCTGTCACACTGCCAGAACACAGAGCTGTATACCATATGTAGCAGTGCTCATAGCCACTGCACAATTCCCATCCAAGCACACCTGAGTGTTGGGACAAGGACTACTAGGACAATGGAAGGGCGCAGGTGCCCGGAGGCTGAAACTGCAGTGAGGGCACCTTGACATCACCTAATCCAGTAAAGAGAAGGGCCAGCTCACAAGCTGAGTTCGATACTATTTGAACAGGATCGCACCAAACCACGAGCAGAATCAAGGCCAGAGACGTGCAGAAGTTGGCAATGTGCTGACAACAAGGTACAGAATCAATAGGAAAAAATCTTGATCAAGAGGCCGAGGTAGTCCAGATGCAGGCCAGATGAAAGCAAGGTCAATGATAGGGAACCAATTTAAAAAAAACATCCAGGAAGGATCTCAAGAGAGGCGCAGGTTTAAATAGGTCACTGGGTGCCAGTATCTGGTGGCTGTGCCAGTGTGTGCATTCTTGCACATTTATGCGCAAAAGCTTTACAGCTGACACAATCTCTCTGTTGGTTGACATGTTTCTGACAATTTGTTAGTGAAATGAATACAGTACTTCATCATTAGCCTGAAGAATAGAAAAGCCAGATTAGACTTTGCCAAAAAAACATCTAAAAAAGCCAGACCAATTCTGGAAAAGCATTCATTGGACGAATGAAACTAATATTAATCTGTACCAGAATGACAGGAAGAAAAAAGTGTGAAGAAGACTTGGAACCGCTCATGATCTAAAGCACTCAATGTCATCTGTAAAACATGGTGGAGGCAGTATGAAGGCATGGGCATGCATGGCTTCCATGTCATTGGTGTTTATTGATGATGTGACAGCTTGAAAAAACAAAAGAACAGCAGCAAGGGATCTCCTTCAGCAATATATGTAGTTTTATTAAACAATTAAAAAAAAATAGTACACTCACATGTAAAATTCTTGTCAAACAGCTCTGGTGCAGATTGCAAAGTAATTCCAAGTAGATAAACATTCAGAATCCCTGAGGGCCCGACATCCTCTAGTGGGCCCTGTGCTCACTGCCCGGCACCATAGAGCTCAATTGCCATTTGCCACTCAACACCAGAATTGGCAGGTCCGCCACTGGCACCCTGTGCTTTTCACAGATGAGAGCAGGCTCACCCTGAGCACATGTGACTGACGTGAAAGGGTCTGGAGAAGCCATGGAGAACATTCTGTTGCCTGTAACATTGTTTAGTATGACCGTTTTGGTGGTGGGTCAGTGATGGTCTAGGGAGGCATATCCATGGGGGACGCACAGACCTCTACAGACTAGACAATGGCACCCTGACTGACATTAGGTATCAGGATGAAATCCTTGGACCCATTGTCAGAGCCTACACTGGTGCAGTGGTTCCTGGGTTCCTCCTGGTGCATGACAGTGCCTGGCCTCATGTGGCAAGAGGATGCAGGCAGTTCCTGGAGGATGAAGGAATTGATAACATTGAATGGCCCCCACACTCGCCTGACCTAAATCCAATAGAACACCTCTGGGATATCATGTTTTTGTCCATCCGCGCCACCAGGTTGCACCTCAGACTGTCCAGGAGCTCAGTGATTCCCTGGTCCAGATCTGGAAGGAAATACCAGATCACCATCTGTCATCTCATTAGGAGCATGTCCCGACATTGTCAGGCATGCATACAAGCACATGGGGTACCATTTTGAGTTGCTGCAATAAAATTTCAACAAAATGAACTAGCCTGCTGCATAATTTTTTCACTTTGATTTTCGGGGTGTCTTTGAATTCAGTCCTCTGTCAGTTGATCATTTTCATTTCCATCGAATGATGGGGCATGCTTACGTTCCTAACACATTACTTAGTCCAGGTAAGTATAGATATCCAGCATGATATTTTTCCCTATTGAGATCTGATGTGTTTCAAAGTGTTCCTTTAATTTTTAGGAGCATGTGTGTGTGTGTGTATGTATGTATGTTCAGTATGTATGTATGTGTATGTATATATATATATATATATATATATATCTGTATACTTGTTATCGCAAATGGAATGTCACATTCATTACTTCTTTGCATAAATTTATCTTTCTGACCTGACCATAGATGCACAGATGGTCACCTTCATTGTCTCAAAACGTTAGACATTCATTTGTTATAATGGCTAAAGCCAGTTTTTTTGAGCCCCCTTTCACACATATATATGGGACACACAGGCATTCTTCAGAGCCCCTTCTAGGACAGAAATGTGAATGTGCCTAGAACTTGAAGAGATTGTCCTCTCCAGGACTTTCTGATGTTTACAGAGGTTCCAGGGCTCCCCTGGATTGAACCGAAGTTGAATTTATCTTGTTTTATCATCTGTACTCTTCTCTTTAAAAGAAACTAAGTCAATCTATTTTATTACTATACAACTTGTGCATTTGTGTTAGTCATTGTACTACATCCACAAATCTGAATAGGGTAAAAGCATATGAACCTGTCAATGAATAAATAAATAGATGTAACGCTGAAGTTAACCTTTGTTACAATATTGCACTGGATTTCTGCCTGTCTACCACCCTCTGGTGTAATTATGCTTCTTCCAAACCCCTTGAGGGCCAATTTTTGGCACATTTGTGGATGTTGGTGTGTGACTATTTGTTTGATTTTAAACTTGTTTTCTTAAAATCTATAAAGATGTTATGTTATTACAGGATTAGAGATCACATTTCAAGACTTCTTTATCTGTATTTTTCCATAAGTACCTACAGTACATGATGAAAGGTAAGAAGAATATATTAATTTTCTGCTCTTAACATGGACATACTGTACATCAATGCAGTCTTCGTGTGTTGTACAATCACTTTATATTGGACGTGTTATACTCCAAGTTACACGCTTGGAGTAATGCCAGATTTACGTTTCTATAAAGGTATTTAAGGTTCATTTAACTTTTATATTTTAATCAAAACAAACATCTAAACGTTAGTTGACCCACGAGTGCTCCCACCAGGCCTCCAGTTTTTGGGTTCTCCCAAGTAGCCTGTTTCCATCTTGGGACTGGGAGTGGTGATATATTTCCTTTGTTGGTTTTACCTGGCTTCACTGATTGGAGCAGAGACATACTGACAGGGGAGCATACCCACATTTATATACACATGTAAGCCTTTTGTAATCTATAAAAGTGTGTCAGATATGTTATATTGTAAAGCGCTGAGCAAACTGGCGCTATATAAATCCTGTATAATAATAATAATAATGTTATCTCTGCATCAGTTGAAGTGATACTAAACACACACTTCAATTTACATGATCCCTTCTCTTTCTGTATGTGGATAATGACATTGTAACTATTTAATTAAAAAAAAACAAACTAATCTAAGTACCTTTTTGCTAATCAATATACAGCTGTCACATGACCCAGCTCTTTACAATCTGTCTGCAGGGAAACACTGGCAGGAGGAGCTTCTAGTCCTCTGCTGCTGGTCCCGTATTCAATTAAAAAAAAAAAACAGCCTTTAGAATTTAGAATACAGAGTAAAAATAAATAATTGCTATCAATGAACTTTTAAATTGTCATTAAAAAAAAATTATTATATATATATATATATATATATATATATATATATACAGTATCTCACAGAAGTGAGTCCACCCCTCACATTTGTGTAAATATTTTATTACATCTTTTCATATGACAACACTGTGAAGAAATTACACTTTGCTACAATTTAAAGTAGTGAGTGTACAGCTTGTATAACAGTGTAAATTTGCTGTCCCCTCAAAATAACTCAACACT